TAAGTGCCAGTAACAACAGAAGCAGTCAGACTCCCTCCACAGCTACCTCCAGTGGAGCTGAACCAGCGTTAGCAGCAGCGGGAAATGTTTGCAGTAGTATCTGAGTGTGGAGAAACCCCAACGTTCCAGCACACCGCTGCCAGTTCCCATTTTGGTGAGTTTGACCCAGAGCATTTAACGTTTCTGCATTAGTTCTGTGTCTCATAATGCCATTTACGTAATGATTGCTCATTTGGTTCCCATTAAAATCATGGTATTTCTTCTGCAAACCACTGCTTGTAAAAATCAAGCCACCCAGTTTTTCATTAGATTGTAATACAGGAAATAAATAGTCTGTCTGTAGGATGCATACTGTAATTGTCAAAGAGAGAATAGGGGGCTTTTTTCCCACTCTTGGACATACAAAGTTCAGATCTCAGAAGCAGGACCGTGAAAGATCTGTTAAGGGTTGCTGAATCTATCTCCTGTGAAAACACAATGTAGTTACTCCCTGGTAGATGTTCCTCGGATACTATATTGATAAAAAGCGAGTCTACAGCTCTTCATAGTCAGAGCGGCAAGAATCCTCTTAAAATTGTAGAAATGTTAGGTGTAGCTCTCGCAGGTCGTCCCAGTGCCGTTACCTTTCGAGGCAGCGCTGAAGAGTTCCTCGTATTATATATACCAGCACTTTGAAGAATTCAGTTTCATATGTCTCAAACAATGGGGGTTTCACCGCTTCCTGTAGGAGCCTGCTCTGCAGCCTAACTCGTTTCACCATCTGGAGCATTTTCCTGAGTGTCTGCCCGGTTTTAACTTTCTTTTAATTGTGCACCCACTATTTCTTCTTAAAGGTGGCTCACCAAAAGTTTCTGTTGTGTGAAATTCATGTTACGTGGTGCTTTTTTTATTTTTTATGAGGATCAAGAAAACCCTGGAAGATTGATGGCTTCTTCTCTTTACTTTTTCTTCCTCAGAAATAATAATAAGTAATTAATAATGTATTACTGCTTTTCTAGCCATTCATCTCAGCAATTTACAAGGAAGGTCAACACTGTTGTACTCTTTTTACAGATGGAAAAAACTGAAGCACAGAGCAGGAAACAACTTGCCCAGGATCATTCAATGAGCCCATGGCAAGACTTGGATTTTTAACCAGGTCTCCACAATAGTGCCCTACTTTTTTTTTTACTTATACTTTTTTTTTTTTTTTGGGCCAGTCCAGTTCCCTTTGGCTTTGTTGGAGTACCTCGGAAGGACAAGCTTTCCATGAACTTTATTCAGAATTGTCATATTGTAACTGAAAGGTCGGCTTGTTGAATATTTAACAGTTACTATCTTTCCAATGTGTTGGTTACGCATCCTAATTAAGTAGTGATAAATAAAACCAACAAAGCATTTTAACAGACTGATTCAGTCCCTAGGGCCTCCGAGCTGAATTTCCTTCAGCTAGCCTGTGTTTTCCTGGTTGCGGATTGTCCAGATTGAACACAGTATATATCAAGCACACTCTTATCAGTGCACTGCAGGGATATTTCCTTCCTCCTCAGTGCCACCATGCTTACTTCACCTGTCGTATTTCCCTTAGCTGTGGTTTTCGGTAAGTGTGTTTCTCAGAATCTGGATAGTTGCTGAATTATAAATCTTCCAATTTGGAACAATCACACCGCAATCTGTACAGCACGATACACTGGGCAGAGAGCGATACCCAGCCTAGCACTGAACAGGCTCACCTGGGTATCAGAAGCTGTTTGGCCTTAGCAGCACAGAGTTCTCCGTGGGCTGCTAGCAGGCAGGGTGTTTCTTCCATCTCCCTTAAAGCTTCTGCCTGTCCGGCCTGTCATTCCAGGGAATATCTTTACTGGGACTAGATCCGCCTGAGCACATGGTAAGATGAGTTTTGTTCCTCATCTCCCCATGGGAATAGCCGTGGAAGGCAGCCACAGCCGCGTGCTCGCAGTCTGATCTGCAGGGGTCTCGTAAGTGCCCCACACTGATCGGACACTGAACTGACAGCCCCCATCATGGATCAAGAAATATAAAATTAGAGCTCTGGGTAGGCCAGAGTTATATCTGAGGGACAGCACATAGATCTTCCTGGCTGCTGACCACTTTCAAAGTATTCCAGTAAGTGAAGCCCTTACCATCTGAGTTATTCCCCTCACTGCTCCTTCAGGCCGCCTTTATTCCAGATATCATTGAGCCAGGGTCTGAGGATTTACCGAAAGCTGCAAGACTGCTGTAGGTCACTGAGCACATTGTCTTCGCTTTCAGATTGAGTTTGAGAAATTACCAGCGGTGTCATGCTTATGCCTCCTGGCCATGTGAATAGAGGAAGCTAAGAAGCAACAATAGATTACATACAGCAGGGAAATCCCCATCGAACTTCTCCCAGACTATCTCAAACTGAAGTTGATTTGCATGCATACACTACAAATAACTTTGCAATGGCTTCTAGCCCCATGAAAGGGCTACATGTGGTTGCCTATAATCATTTAGGCCAGTTCCACCAGTTGAATCACTCAGAGAAAATAAAAAAGAGTGAATCAGAGCCTGTATAGAAATCTAAGCAGTTTTATGTAGCATCAGCCTACTTCAGGTAAGGATACAACTGGGTAATGCTGTTCCACACAAGATCAATGGGAAATGTTCAATACCTGATAGTAACTAGTAGTTATTCTAGAAAAGCAGAGCTAAAAAGCTATGTTAAGCTTTATAATTTGTGATTATGGATGGGTGGTATGATTCTTCAGCTAAACTTGCAACTAAGCTTCCTATACAAACCCTGTTTGGTGGAAGATGGACCTTACTGAAAACCAGAAAAAAGCTTTAATGTCCTGTAGTTGAAACCTATGGCCAGCTGCTTTACAAAATCTGAGACTCATTAGGCCTGGAATTCCTGAGCAATGCTGTTCAAAAAGCAGTGGTGTTAAACAGACTTCCAAAATTCCTGTGATTTTGTTTAAACATCATGGTTTAACAGAAACAAACAAGTGAGCAAAAAAGAGATAGCATATTGAAAATGCGTATTTACTGGGTTATCTCAGGCTCAAAAATGTAGTTGGCTAATATGACACTACAAAAATCTGTTACATTGTCTTTGATGCACTAAGAATGACAATGTTTATAAGCCTAGTACATCGTGATTGCAGAATGCCTAAATTCTTCTTGAAGACAGACAGTATTTTCTGGTCCCTTGCTGAGAGAGAGGGCTTTTGGGGTTTGGGGACTTTGTTTGTTTGTTTGTTTGAATAGGATAAGAATATAAAGTTCCCAAAGGCTCACTAAGAGCTGTTTCTTTGGAAAGAATTCGCTTACCTACTCCCTTTCCTAGCTTTCTATCGAAACAAATCCTCAGCTACATTTCCTGCCAGCCCTCTCCCAAAGCTACACAGAGTATAGACAACTGCACTGATTCTTTAGGCTCTCCCAGTAAATTCACAGAAGGATTTTCTGTACATTTTCTGGGTTGTCAAGCCAGCTCTGCATGAAAATTATGTATAGTTGGGTAGGGATATAATTTTGAACAATGCTGTAGATGCCTTGCAGTAAATACCAAAGCTGTTTTAAACAGTCTTAGAGGTGCTTTTGTCAGTATAACATATTTCCCTTGAGGAATTCATCAAAGGTGTATTGGCAAAAGTGGGGTTTGTTCTACCTGCATTAGGGTTATCATCGTTGTCAGTATAGTTATACCAGGACAGCTATATGAGCAACTCTTTTCTAGTGTAGTTGCTTTTCATATAGCTAACAAACAGGGCTAGAGAGGAGGAGGAAAACTGAGACACAGCTTCCCTTGACAACTTGTGTAAACCTTGTGTTTCTTCTACAATATCACCTCACCATTAATAATGTCATGGCCTGTTGCAGTGGAATAGCTTGCCTCTCACCCTCCTCCTTTCAGCTTTATTGACTTTCGTCAAAGCTTTGATACAGAACAACAGTAATCAGCCCAGGTATGAACTGGCTGTTCTGCAGAGTCCTTCAGGCAGCTGAGGTCTCCCTGTGCTACGATGGAGCTTGTCTCAATGGGTCAGCTGTAGAGATCGGAAGAAGTATGTACTTGAATAGGCCTGGGATACCTTGCAATGCAGTTAATAGCAGCAAACATGAGGAGGGCATCACATGATCTGACTGAAGATTCATTAGTACCTGGGATATTTTGGTCCTGATAACTGTGTGTTTCTTCAGTTTGTGTTCTTTTCATCAGCTTGCAGGTTGATCAGGAAGGCTTCAATTTTGTTTTTTAATATCTCCTCTCACAACAGTCCATTTTCTAAGGAGTCTAATCACAGTAATATAATATCCTGTATTTACATAGAAAACTCCATCCCAAAGCACTTTAGAGCCTGGCACTGACATGGGACTAAGATTAGAAGAGGAGCAACTCATACCAGTTAGGAAGCAGGCTCTGCTCTCATGCTAGGTATTAGTAAAGCATATAGAGTGGAACCATCATATTTTCTCTGAATCCAAGGCAATTTGCTAATAGTTGGAAAATATATTGGTATAAGCTGTGCTCTGTTTAACTCCAGGAAATGTGTTCAAACTGTAGAAAATAAGCCGTGGTAGAGAACATCAGTCCTCTTGTACATCCCATTCTCTGTTCATAGGCACTGGCTACCAAAAAACAGTTTTATTGGAAAATTAGGGTGATGCAAAGGTCCGCAGCAAGTATACGCTGGCCTTTGGCCAAAGCATGGTAGAGGGGCCTGGACTAGTCTAAGGTTTGGCTCCAGAGCACGAGAGTAGCATCAGAAGCTTTGCCAGCCAGAATGAGGAGAGTCTGGACATTGGTAACTAGAAGGACAGCCAGGCAGGCAGCAGAAAGAGGATCGTTACATATAATTCAATCCATTTTCAGCAAGTCTGTGAAATTAGTTCATAGTGAACTAATTACCTTGATTTGTTTTGTGTATTAAATGGGTTTCCAAGTGGTTGTTTGCTGGAGGAAATGGTAACTTTGTGATCTCATTCTGACACATTGGCATTGAGGTGTCCGTCTTTATTGTGTGTTGCAGATGGAAAGGACCAAACAAATTTAACCTGGGAAGGAACCAATCCTGCTCTGCAGACCATACGAGTGAGGAACACTGCCTTGAAAGATACTTCACTTGATGCTGCTTTACCCAGCACTATTGGTGAAACTCCGAACAATACATCCAATCTATAGAAAGGACAAATGAAACATCCACTAAGAAATGAATGCATGACAACATTGGTTTTCAAAAATCTGGTGAAACAGATAGTAAGCATTCTTCTTCTTTTGTCTTTCTAAAGACTAACTTTAAAACCAAGTGCTGTTCTTTGTATGTGTGGGGCCATACTTAACTCTGAATGTATGAAAATCCTGTATTTTGCTCAGGTTAATTTAAGTGACATAGTAATAAAAGCCTAAAGCCTCTGAACAACGCACATGCTGCTGAAGAAGCATAGGCCACACGTGCCTTCCTAATTCATCCCGTCACCTCACCAATCTGGAGGAACCGACAGTGAAACACGCAAGAGTGCTTGGTGTCCACGGCCCATAACATAGTGAAATGTCAGCTTCTGCTTTTTAAGAGAAATTATAAGCCCACTTATTGGCTTGATTAAGAAGCAATAGTTCAGTGAGCTCTAACTCCTGTAACTCATTTGAAAATCATCAGAGATGATGTAACAGAGTTGCTAATAGCCGGGCTCTGACAGTTCAGAATGAAAGAACAGGTAGCAATCCCAAAGGTGGGAAGATCAGTGTGTATTACAGCTGCTTAGCTTCCTCTGTCTTCAAAGCACTTTTAAAGTCTTCACAGCGTGACTGCAAACCACAGAACTATTTACTCACCTTACAGACTTAGAGAATGTATGACTTGCTCAAGGCTGCTGAAGGCATCGCTGGCTGTGCTGCGATCGGGATCAGGTTGTTCCCGGCTCTCAAGCCTCACATCCCTTAGGGAAAGCCACGGGTGCAGTTAGTGCCGACTGCCGATGCACAGTCACCATTGGCCCGAGGGGCTGGTTCTGTCCTCTGCAGTCACAGGGAAAGCCTCCCTGAGAAACCTGTTGAAAAGCAGAGTAACCTGTACAGAAATATGGGAGGTCTGGAGTACTGCCGAAGTGGCTGTAGGTAACCCAGCAAGGAGGTCAGCTGCAGTGGGGTCACCTGTGAGGTGAGCAGGTTGCCATCTGCTGTTTGCTAGGCAGTCTTTGGGTGACAAGATTATTCCTGGGGAGTACGTGGCCCCTATTAAAAAGTACTGCACACCCTTACCGTGGCAGTGCAAGAGACTGAGGAGCTGATGGGATGTGGAAGCTGATGTCACGTCACTCCCAGCCGCCAAACAGGATGGCATGGAGAAGCCGACTCTGCAGCTATCTGCTGACATGCCTGCTCACGCAGCTTTGGGCTCTCCTTTAACAAGGAAGTTTCCATCACAACAAGGATGCTAGTCCATTTCAATAAGCTACTTTTAAAAGCTAATATGTTTCACCTTGGGGAAGAGCAATTCTCCAGCTTCAGTGTTACCAGTTTTGTGCTTTGAAGAGACCTTTGTAAAATTTTATTTTAATTTTGTTTTAACTAAAGTTTAGATTTTTTTCTTAACAGTGCTGCACTACTGGCCGTTCAAGCCATTTTATCTGGGTATCTTGTAAATATTTGGTAGAGCACTCAGATACAGAAGTGGTTTTTGCTCTTACAGTCACATGCCTGGTTCCAGGACCTTTCAGAAGCACAAAAGGCTGAAGGCAGGGAAAATTCCACTGAGATGCATTCGAGTCTCCAGGGAGGAACTGCACTCTGTTTAGACTAAAATTTCTCATTGCTGCCTCTCCTTTTTTAAAAAAAAGTGGAAGGATAGAGAGGGGAAGCTGGAGGGTAGGTTTTTTTATTATTATAAACACGGAAATGCAAGCACCGTTTCCCTCATTTCTCTCATATTGCAGGACGATTTGCAGTTGGAGAGGGAGATAAGCTTTTTAATGCTCTCTGCACTACCTGGGAAATTTCCATCCAAGTTCTAAAATGTTTTACAAACATTAATGAATTAAAGCTTAATCCCCTTCTTCTCAGCCCTGTGAAGCAAGTACTAAATACAGTTTAAAAACAGGACTAATGAGACTAAAAAAGTTGTGCCTTGCCTCAAGTCACATGGGCAGTGTGGCAAGAGGACTCGGGTCTTACACCACAGACAACACACATTCCCTCCCTTTTCAAGGCTTGCTGTACTTGCCTTTGTGGGATATAGTGAAAACATGCTGGCATCACACCTTGAGATAACCTTGTTTTTTCCCCCTTGGAACAGAGAGACTACTCACAGCTGCTGTCCCATGAGATTAAGGTGTTGAAAGGATCAGACAAGGTGGGGGGGGGGGGGGGGGGGGGGGAGGAACATAAGTGCGGGGGGGGGAGCAGAGAAGCAAGTCATTGCTCTGTCTGCCTTGGGCATGCTCTGCCTGCACTGCTGCCAGTGGAGCTGGTGTACTATTGGGAGCAACCTCAAACGTTTTTGTATGTGCTTCCATATAATATTCAGGCAGGACTGTGGTAAAAATGCCATAATCAAAGAGAGAACTTGGCTGACAAGAAAATTGGACAAATGAGCCAATAAGCCACTCCTGTATTGAATATATGTGATTTCATTATCCTTCTGTATGTGACCTGCATTTCTTACTGCTTCTTACTATCAGAATCCTGTAACTACTGCTGCAGCCATCTCTTTCACCTCTTCAGAAGAGAGGGATAATCCATCAGCCAGTTCCTTTCCAGTGGTATGAGTCAGGTTTTTACAAGGGGGATTAATGGTTAGTTGAAGAGAGTTGTTCCCAACAGCGCTGAGCAAAAAGGAATGTGCACATGAGTCATGAAGTGGAAGAGAAGGAAACAAATCTATAGACTTGAAGGTTTTGAATGAATTCTTTTTCCTTAGCTTCCCTTGTCCACACTGATCTATAACTAGACATGCAAAAGCTGGAAATGTATTGCTGGTGGCTGGCATAAGCAGGACTGAGAGCTTCTCCCACTGTGCAAACATACCTGAAGTCAGTCAGCCCCCCAAACCAGATCAGTGTGTACCAGCTATTGCAGCCCTTGTAGGTGAAAGATGCTGGGAGAAAAATCGGATCACAGTGCAGCAGCCTCCTCCTGTCTCTCCTGTGACCCTGTGATGTACCCCGGCACTGGTGCCTTTGGCCTCTTCACGCTGTTACCTTTTATGACAAGGGCCAGCACTGGTCCTTGGGTACACTCCTTCTGTAGCACCCTTCCCTGCAGAGGATCCAGACTCACTGCAAATGCTGTGCACAGTGCTCATTTCATTCCCCGCTGAAAGGCAGCCAGGCCTGAGGTGGAACACGGCAAGCGCTTCGCCGTGCCTGGCAACTCCATGCAGCTGCTGAAAACAAGCGGGGAAGAAAGTGGTGTACAAACACAGGGGAATTTTCACATAGGCAGGATGTAATTAGCAGAGCTGGTATTTGGCCAGGACACTGGGGTTAAAACACTGGCTTGCAGGTAACACACTGGGATCTTTCATAATTCAAATGCTCAGGATCTCCTGTTTCCATCTTACCTGGACGATGTCAGAAGATTGCTCCCTAGTTAATGTTCCTGGGCAGCTCTCGAACATCTGACACAAAGGAAAAAGTGTCTAATGGTGCTGCACCTGCAGTGCTTCTCCGCCAGCAACTGCCCACCGCGAACAGCAGCTGAAAGGGTCACATCCTGAGAGGGCTACGGCTGCGTCGCGGTAAAACATGCCACAGCTGCCTCCATGCCTTGGGGTTCACTTCACCCTTAACTCTCATTACTCAGTTCTCAGGCCGCAAATCCCCACCAAACAGAAAGAAAAGATGATAAAATTAGGGCAGCCCCTCACACGTAAAACACAAGAGTGAGAATATTACCGTTAAGTGCTGCTTCAACCTTGTTCTCTGCCACTTGCAATAGTACCAAATCGGTATCGGACAACAGAGAATTACATGAAGCACTTCTCCCCGATTCAGAAGAGTGAGCTTTTCCAACTGACCTTGCCGGTAATACACAGAGCATTAAAAGCTTGTGCCTCCTCCTTCCTGCCAGCAGAGAAATCACGGTCAAAGCAGCAAAACATTTTTTTTCCCCTTCATGAGCTCACTTTCTGTATAAGCAATCTGTGTGTTTACTACGAGGATGTTGAATGTCCACAAAAGGTCAGGGAAGTCATTCATGAACCTCACGTGTGGAAAGTCCGCAAGACATTTCTACCACGATGTGGCCCACAGTCTAAAATATACACAATTGCAAACCTTTAACCCCTCGTCTGTCAGAGCTGCAGACCGCGTGCAGTTTGAAGAGCTGGCTTCCTCCCTGCAGTGCAGTGTGTGCAAGCAAAACAAGAGGGGTTCCTGCCATCCGAGAAAGCATAATCTCTGCATCAGTAAGTCATAAAAAAGGGATCCCTCCTATGCCTGTGAGGGCTTCCCGTATCAGCTTTTGGTGTGTTTAGGTTTTTTGTATGCCCAGGTTGCCATGCAAGTCCCCCTCTTTCTCAAGCGTTGCTTAATACAACCACCGACCAAACTTGCTGAGAGCACCTCAGTCAGCGGGATAACAAACCTACAGACTGACTCAAATGGCAAAGTGATCTGGAGAGAATAAAGTACGGGCAGCTGTAGGCAACAGGAAATCCAGCACTAATAAATAAAACGTCTTATAGCCAGAAAGAGGAAATAAACAGCAGCAGCACAAACTGAGAGGACAGAAGAGAGGAACACAGCATAACTGTGGCGCGGGAATCACTGCATTACAGTGAGTTTATTTTTACTGAACGTTGTCCCAGTTTGTTATGTGTTCAGACTGCAAAAAAAAGTGGGGGAGTGGGAGGACTGCTCAAAGAGAGGGTCTCTATCAGAAGAAGTTGTCAACAACCACTGTAATTAAGGAAGCAGCCAGAGCACACACAACCTGAGCCGCCGCCAAAGTGAAATGAAAGCATTTTTTCTTTGCAGCCGTAGCCCCGAAGGATAATAAAAGATGGTTCTACCGTGCCAATGAGGAGCTGCAGGGACACCGTTTCTAGACAGCAAATGCCCTGCTCCCATCTTTCCAAAATTACACACTGTGGGGAGGCAGCAAGTTACTCTTCCTACGTGTGCTTTCGAAGCACGTGCCCGCACACCCCGTCTGCAGCAGCCGCCTCGGGAGGTCTGCCGCCT